ATATTTCTCGACATACTTGGTATGGAACTTGAAAGTACAATTAAGAAACTCAATCTATGGTGTGCATAATTCAATATCTAGTATGACCATTTGAACAAGGTGGTGAAAACTGAAAGGCTTTTGGCAGTAACGGCATTCCATAGCGAAGCTCCCTCAAGTTTCATGGGTTATTCGTCCTCCTGGTACGAATGCTAGCGACTGCTGTAAACATGTTGAAACTCTATGCGAAACTTCTTGTGAAAAGTAAACTATGTACTTGCACTGCATGACAATTCCTCCTCCTTTTTCCCACTCTGTTGGCCATGGATATCTACTATCCTGTTCGTTACTGGTTATCTCACTGAAAATGCAACAAAAGTATATCGATTTGAAACTCATTGCTCGCTAATTTTTCAATGCTTTTCCGATCTAGCCAAATTATGATATAATTACCAAAATATGCTAATATCCTGTCGAATAGTTTCAAATAAATATTGGAAGTGATCAGAAACTCCTGCTGGGACATGCCCTATTATACCATTGTGATCATTTCGAACTGTAACTGCATTAGATACTGAAGAAACTGGATTTCACTCCGCACCAACTTCCAATGAAGTCCCTTCTGACATTCCAACTGACGATTCTCAATCAGCAGTAAATCCTAATTCTCCAACAAGTAAGTACAAATAAAGGATGAGTAGTTCGATTAATCACTAGAATAGAATGGCTTTTCACAAACTCCACAAATTATTCATTATTCAACTGACCAATAGAAGAGCATATTATTATCGATTACGTGCATGATCTTTATTGATACCTAATAAAAACCGATCATTCTGAAATTTTTTTACAGGGACGATGCAAGGTGATATAGGTGAAATAGTTGAGACCAAGACTGTAAAGGAAATCGACAACGCCATTGAACGCCTCACACCTGAGGAAAAGTATAATCTTGTCAGAAATCATATCGTACCACCTGAGGGTTATAACTGTAATTGTGTTTTCCAAGGCGGGAAAAACAGAAAATTTCAACCCCAGTTATTGCAAAAGCATCAATGGCTTCGTTACAGTACCCACTTGGACGGCCTTTTTTGTATATTTTGCGTTTTATTCTGTCAAAGCAAAACAAAAAAAGGAAGTTTTGTTATAGAGCCATTTTCAAATTGCCAAAAGCAGCATGAAAAGTGCCGAGAGCATGAAAAGTGCCGAGAGCATGAAAAGCTTGCTTACCACATGAACGCACAAGAGATGGGAGATCAAGTGATCTACAGCATTGAACATCCCGAGACAAAAGTAACGGTTCTATTGGACAGAAAGAAGCAGGAGAACATTCTTCGGAATAGGAAAATCTTAAAGAGCGTTTTTGAAGTTTAGTCCAGCAGATATGTGCAGATTTTTAGTGAATTGTGCGTTTTGTGATAAAAGCATGAAATTTGGCACAAAGTTAGGGCTTACCCTAACAAATATTTTTGAGGGTAAGGCCATCCCATAATTTTTCTTTTAAGGCATTGACACCAAGAAAATGTTTTACAAAAAACTAAGTTTGGGCTTCCTGTGGTGAATAAACCAATAAAAATTTTATTTGTAAAAATCGTAATTTTTTAGAACGATGTAATTAGCAGTTGCTGTAAACTTCCAAAAAGGCAGTTTTTGCTGGCTTCTGAACACGAAAAAATATTTCTAATTTGTAAAATAACCATCGGGATTCTGTTTTCACGAAGTGG